TCCATTCCTTGCTGATCGGACTTTTCCTTCAACTTTTCTGGAATAACTTTGACCTGGATGATTCAGCATCAACAGGCTCCCAGTCCTGCACCGCCTCTGCTCAGCAGGATCACTGGATCCCCAAGAATCGTGCTCCCCCCACACCGCCCCACCTCTGGCTCCACCAGCCTCACCAATCATCCTGTGTCCTCAGACCATGTCAGCTCCCTCCGGATCAGAATTATCGGTAACATCCTGGCAGGGAATACGAGGGCTGGTCCACATGTCACCTATTAGCTGTTGCTCTGGGCTGTGGGCTTTTTTATACAAGAAAGAAACGCTCCGCCACAGACAGCCTTAGAAGTTGGCCTGATTGGGAAAGATTGTAGAGAGAGCGCTTGAAGTGAGATGTTGGACAGCTGATTTCCATTTCTCTGTGTGTTGAGCGTTTGCACGCCTTTCTGCCAAACAGAAACCAGCCGTATTATTATGATTTGGGGTAAAAAGTTCATCCTTTTATTTTTGGAGTCATCCTGTTTTACAGCGTCTATTAATAGTAAGGTGGGTTTTGAACACGCAGGAGGGGGAGCTGCATGGAGATTTGCCGTCATCCTGAAAATGATCAAACTCCTCACGAGACGACACCTTCATGCTGAGTTCTACCATTTAAAGCAACCTTCTCAGAAAAGCTAACATCTTTGCTCGACTTGAAATTCCCAGTTAAACTCCAACACGCCGAGGGTGCGTGTGCAGAGAGGAGCACTCTTTGAGTAATGCTCCAGATAATCACATGAAGCCCAATTGGCGTGTCAATACTTGCTGCAGATAGTATCACAACACCAGGGTTATACTTTTAGTTGTTTCATGACTCAGCACAGGGATTATGGTTTAATGTCACATTAAGTTGGTTAGAAAATTCCTCCAGTTGGAAGCAGGCAGTAAATTGTCTTCATAGCAGTCTGTTTTGGTGTTCTTATGTCTGTTTTTTTTACCAAGTATCCAGCGAAGATCAGGCGTGCTGCAATGCATATCAAAACACTTTAATCAGTGAACAACAAGCCGTTCATAAATGAGGAGAGGAGTGACAATCTGCTGGCAAAATGATCTTAAAGCTAACATTTTCACAGGGAATCTTAGTGGAAAGGTTCCTCTTTAGGGCTGCACCCTAGACACCTCAAGGTTTCCCCATGCTGTGGTTGCCATGTCAGCAGCCAAAGCTGTGAGCCTCTGCAGCTCCTCCAAGGTCACCATTGATTCTCTCCCTGACTGTTGGTTTTAGCAGATGGTGGTTTGCAATTGGTCTGAGAGATGTTCAAAGCTTGGGGTGTTGTTTTATAGCCTAAACTTGTTTAAAACCTCTCTACTACTTTCTCCCTGATCTGTCTGCCATTTTTCCTGGTCTTCATAGTCTAATATTCCCTAACAGACCTTAGAGGAACAGCCGGGCAGCGTTTTTCATGGAGCCGGTCTCTTAAGGCCATTTTTTGCAATGCGTTTTATTCAGTGGAATCAGACTGTTGGCCTTTATTTACTTGGATTATATGTCTGAAGAACTTTGACAACATCTAATGTACCTTCTACAAGTGCAATAATCCAAGTCAACTATTGTGTATTCTTTCCTGAGCTCTCTACAGATATTTGTATATCTAAAGGAAACATATTCCAGGACGTTAGAACTTTTTTATGCTCTTTTGTACCAGTGGCGGCTGGTGAAAAATATTTTTGGTGGGGCTGATATAGCCTAGTGTATGTCTCCAACTAATCCAGAATAAGAATTCGATTAAACAATTGGACAATACATACAATTTAACAGTAATGATTTAATTTACTATATAATAACAGTGATGATTTGGGTCACTGTGACGGGGTTCTTTGGCCTCCAAGAATCCAGGCTCAGTCGGGTTACCGGTGTTGCTGATTTATTGAGCTCAAAAAATCAAAACAGGGTGCAAAAGAAACTAAACATATACCAGATACTCTGGGCCTCAGCCTCCCTCCAGTTACCAGCAATGTAACAAAGAAACAGACAACAAAAATTGCCACTTTTCTTCCCACAGCCCTCATTAAATAGTTTAAGCCCCTCACCTCAGGCTCTCTTATTTCTGATTTCTTCTCATAAATCAGTTTTGTCCATATATTACCTCCACAAACAATTAATTTACAAAAACAAATAATTTTTACAACTTAATTCTTTTACACAGATTCGTAGACTTATTCAATTACACCAAACTGGATTTGAACCCAGCAAAGATGCAGCCAGACTGAAGATGACAAGTCCCCATAGCATAAACACGTACACACCCACACCCACCACACACACACACACACCCCCCCCCCCCACATACCACACACACACACGGCTAACCCCACTGAAATATTAAGTGTGCACCCTCAATATGCCAGCAGGTAACCAGGAACAGCTTGTGTGTTTTAAGTTCATGGAGCTACTGGTCTCAGCGCGAGTGTATTGGTCCTCACAAACACAGTATAACAGGAACGTGTGTGTGGCGCGCAAAGTTAGAGAGGTTGTTTTAAGCGAGGAGGTGGATTCGTCACAGTCACAATAACCATGACATGAAATGTTCATATCCTACAACAGGGATGTTCTTCCGGCAAACGGGTAGATAAATAAGGATCTCACCGAATTTGGTGGAAGCTGCATCTTCCTTGTTACGTTCGCCATCTTCCCTCTCATTGTCTGCACCTGCGCTTGGGTTCAGAAGCCTGTAAAAGCGCAGTATTTTCAGCGCCCCAAGACCATAAAGTTCCGAGACGCTGATTGGCCATTAAATTCACCTAGCAAAAGTACATGATTGACAGATTCTCTGCAAATGTGGGTCAGTCTGATCACAGCCCCCAGAACAGAGACGGTAGGAGTCTGTCTGTGGAAATCCACAAATTAATGACAGTAGATAGGGAAATGTAGTTTATATAATTTGTTTTGCTTATAGGTACACAGTCTAGAGAGTAAAACTGACATTTATGATTTAATTTCTAAAAATATATTTTACGTTTCTCTCTTCTTATCAGGGAGGGCGGTGCCCCAGCGCCCCCTATGGGCCGGCCGCCACTGTTTTGTACTGTAAACACTCTTTTTATATTGTCTGTTGTATTTTTATCTTTAAAGACATCTTGCTTTAAATCTGCCCTTTGTATTCTATATTCAATTCTGTTTATTTATATAGCGCAAATTCACAACACATGTCATCTCAGGCACTTTACAGTTCAACCAGATCATACAGTCAGATTGTTTCAAAGTTTTCTATCTAAGGAAAATCAGCCGATTGCATCGAATCATTGACTCAACAGCAATCCCTCACACTTAGCAAGCTTGTAGCGACTGTGGAGAGGAAAACTCCCTTTTAACAGAAAGAAACCTCCAGCAAAACCAGGCTCAGTGTGAGTGGCCATCTGCTGAGGTTCAAGGAGGCAGAAGCAGGGAAACAAAAGCTAACTGTAAAAGGCGGCTTCATCCAGAAGACACAGCCAGGCAGACGAGCTCCGAGCCAGCTCCCATGTCAGAGGATGAAGAGAGCACATCCAGCCAGTCACAGTCAGAGAAACAGGACTACACTGGAAAACAGGCCGATCTCCAACATCTATAAACAAAGATGTTGATGGCAGCAGCACAGCAGATATTTTTCTCCAGGATAGTGACGAGAGGATGCTAAAATGTGAAAAAGCAGAGAGAGCATAACATTAGAGATTGAACTATATACTACTATACAAGCTACTGGAACCAGAATGTCCCTGAAGTAATCCCAAGGGATAAATAAAGTTGAATCTTAAGTCTAAATCTAGGTCAAAATCAAGTACTTTGGGTTGGTCTGTTGAGTAGACAGCTAAAAGGGCTGGGCAATTAAATGCATTTGCAATTTAAGAAAATGTGAACAAATAACAGAGGTACTCAATTTTGGTCATTTTTTTCACAAAACTGCAAGACAAATCTTTTCTTACCCCAGCCCTTTAATTAGGGTAATATGTTTAAAGTGGGTTCGCTTTCACAAAAAAAGGAAATAAAGTTGCTGCCAGCTGCAGATCCATGCATGCATGTAGAAATGAGCACTTTTACATACAAAATTTAAACTAAAGTCCTGCAACAACGGACTCTGGATCAACCAGCCTCCAAAGGAATGAAAAAATTAAAAAATCTAACTATCTAGTGCAAAGAAAAACTCAGCATTGGTTAAAAATAATTGAAATTTTGAATTGTGTCAAAATCTTTCATCCCTAATTGATTGATTGACTGTATTTATCTCACAGTGGAGAAATGTTCTTGTTACATCAGCACAAATAGTCATAGGAAGAAATGTAATTACTATTATCATCCATAGAGGTTTGTGTTGCATGTGAAAATATCAAAAGGGTTTTAAACAATAATCAGCTCTTCCTTGAGAAAAAAATACTGTTTAGTTACAGTGGTTCCCATTATTCTTTTCCACATATTTGACTAATTATATTTGAGTATAAATTTGTTCCATTGCAATCTTCATTCCAATCCACTGAGTAGTTTTTCCAGTTTCATCACAGCTTCTTTCTATTAATATGGTTTAATAAATGCCACCAAAGTTTAGTTTGGTCTGCTTTGGTAAAAGCTGTAGACGCCTCAGTTCAATTTTCAGCAGACCTGAACTCCACTGTCTGTATTATTTGCATTCATACATGGCCGCTTGTTTGACTTCCTCCTGAGAGCAGGATAACCCCTGAGGAAGCTGGTTTATGGGCGTGTCGGGGGAAACAGATACAGAGCCACAAAAACAGGCGGCCTGTCTTCGCCCAGTGGTTAACAAAACCATGTCCATAGATGTCTGTCTGATCTTTACACTCTAAATTAGTTTTTATCCCTCATGTCTGTTGTGTGTGTTTGAGGCATGGAAAAAAAAAAAACGTCTACATTTTTACTGCCTAAAGCTGTCACATATTCTTAAGCTTTCATAGGAAAAGCTCATTATGTGAATCTGAATGTGTTGGTCTATGTTAGGAGCTGAACTGACCGTGTGTTTGTTCCTGTTTCTCTGCAGGCACCAGCCAGCACTTTTGGACTGAGAGATTTGAGGATCTGGAAGTGAAATAAAGGAGCCATAAGGACTTTGAAAGAGGAGAAGAAATAGTCGACAAAGAGAAGAAGCAGGAAGATCTCAAAGATGGGGAGAAAAAAGATTCAGATTGCCCGAATAATGGATGAAAGGAACAGACATGTAAGCAGCAAACAGGAAACCCGATTTAATCTCATGCACAGAGCTGCATCTCAACATGAAGCCTAATTCTACGTTCAGACCGCCAGCAGCAGAAGCAGCTAGCTTACATGCTAAGTCAATGGTTTACTCGCATCAAGGTGCAGCAAAAGGTCCTGCAGCTCATTTTGAGCAGCTGAAGCAGCGCCTCATTAGCATTTGAGCATGATGCTCTTCAGAAGCAGCAGCAGCTGCTGGAGTTGGAAAAATGTAACATTTGCTGCTGGACGCGCCAAATCAACCAATCAGAGAAAGTGATCTGAGAGCTGGCAGGGAGACAGACACAGCACTGCTGATGCAGAGCGCTACGATCACTCCTCTGAAACTTTTTTTGTATTTATTTATTTTTTTAGTTTTTACAGCACTAGGGGGTTTGAGAGAGGGGGAGAGACATGCGGCAAAAGACCACAGGTCGGATTCTAACCCTGGGTCGGCCGCGTCGAGGACTTAAGCCTCCGCACATTGGTCATGCGCACTAACCTCTGCGCCACCTGCACGCCCTGAAACCGTTTATTAACGCCCTAATTAACTTAAGATCTTGAAACCTGCCGTCAAAAATTTAGCTTTTATTATTGTGGTGCCTGCAGTATGAGTTACATACATAAAAACAACTTCCAGGCGCTTTGAACATTAGCAGAAAACCGGGAAGAGGCCAGAGGCTGCTGTTGAAGGTGATTCCCAGTGACAAAGCACCGGTGGTGTAAAGGGGTCTGAGCAGCTCAGAACTAAACTTGTACAAGCATGAAAAATGAAGCAACACGCGTGTTTTTGCTGCTTCTGCTGTGTGCGGTCTGAACGTAGCATCAGATATTCCTCCAGTTTTTCTAAAAGGTGTCGTTCAGGACAGACTTTAAACATTTAACTCATAATCTTGTGTTTATACTGTCTTTGACGGCAGATGATTTGAAGTATTTGTAGTATCTGCTTACAGTCCTCTATAAGAACACACGATAATGCCAATAAACAACTGTTTATTCACACCTGTTTTAGTTTGATGAAGGTTCACAATATATCATATTCAACAACAGTGATCTGGGCCAAATAAGATGATTCTTTTGGAAGTTATTTAAATGAAATTATATTTGAGATTTTTAGGCTTTTGTGGATTATTATTTTTAACAAACTTTTCTGACAACAAAATGTTTAGTTTGAAATGGATTAGGATTAAGCTGCACCTATCAGTTATTTTAGAATCTATTAATCCACCGATCATTTTTGGGGTTAATCTAAAAAGAGATACTTTTAGTAAATTAACATTAGCAAATAAATAAATCTTCAGAATTCAGAAAAATATTAGATTTTGCCTTTTACATGAATTGTAAACAGCAGAACATGAACATATAAATTTATATAGATAGAAGATTTTTTTATCTTGGAAAATGTTTATATTGTTTGTAGTTTATTCTTTTTTACTGCTTTAGGGAGGGCATTCTATCAGCAAATGGCATTTTTTAGAGTTTATGTAGCATTAGTGTAACTAATGATTCAGTTCCGCTACCAAACTAGTTTCATTTTATATAAATAAAAAAATAATCACAACTAATCTGCTCCTTTTATCCTCCCTAGAATGAATTTGTTAAGATTTGACTCACCAACAGGTGAACAGAGGAATTGACTCATGGTCCCTCGTTCATCTGATGAAATTGGTCGAGCATTGATTCAGCTGAGGGTTAAAATCTGTTTAATCTGAATTCAGTTCTTGTTTTTATCTAAAATTTAATTTAACTCACTAGTATCACATATTGAGAAAACCAATGGTTTTAAGTAGAAACTATTTAACAACCTGGTTTCCCCGCTAGATGCATTCAGACTCACTGGCATGTGATGTTTACAAACACCTACTGCTTATGAGTCCATGTCTGGATGCAGCAGCTGGCTCAGTGCAACATGACTTCTGAGTAATGAGGCCTTGCTGTCAAGGTCTTATGCACAGGAGCTTCGTTCCAGATTAGTGCACATACATTAACATGCACAGGTCCTGTTTGAAGGAACGCTTCTTCTCTTCCTGTTTTGACAGGAAGTAGAGGCACATGTGCTTCATGACCCCCATCAGGCAGGTGCTGCCTCACGATTCTTCCCTGTGTGGCGGTCCATGTATGGGTTTTAACTTTAGAATGTTTTCAGAACAGCACCAAGCAAGATTATAAAAACATGAAAAGTCACGAACTCAACGCTATTTCTGACATTTTGGATTGAAAAAGCTTCCTGGATGGGAAGAGAAACGTCTTCACACTTGAAAACAAAGTTCAGTGGGTTGTTTTTTTTAACCTTTTTTGGATCTACAGCCAATACGGTCACAGTCCTGAAGGGAAACCAAGGAGCATTTTTTGATCATTTTGTGAAGAAGGCTTTAATTTATCAATTATAATGTACAAATAGAGGGACAAAACTAAATTTTTTATGACTTGTGTTCAGAGCTATAGTATCAGATTCACGTTGCTGCAGGAAAACAAAATTGGTTTCTCTCTTTCCGTGGTTTCTGACAAAAAAAATCTCTTCCTCACTTTCCTCTCAGGTGACGTTCACAAAGCGAAAGTTTGGCCTGATGAAAAAAGCCTATGAGTTGAGCGTGCTGTGCGATTGTGAGATTGCACTCATCATCTTCAACAGCACCAACAAGCTGTTTCAGTACGCCAGCACCGACATGGACAAGGTTCTGCTCAAATACACCGAGTACAACGAGCCACACGAGAGTCGGACCAACTCCGACATCGTGGATGTAAGTAAACCATGCATACAAAACACGTCCTGGTCACTTAGCGAGGCTAGTCACCATGGTAACATACTCTGAATGTCAAACCCGCGCCAGGCCAGGCTAGCTTTCAAGATTGAGCTGAATCCTGGAAAACGCCCCCAGCCTGCAGCCAATCAGATGTTTGGAAACAATTATGAGTCCTGGATCAAAGACCTACTTTAATTTAGAGGGAAGAAGAAGTTAAACAAAACAACATCACAATAAAACAATCTGAAAACCAAAATACAGTTAAAACAAAAGATGCTTTTAACAAATTGAATATCTTTTAATTAATTTTTTGATTTTTCCTATTTTGACATACTATCCTTTTACTATTTGTTTGTTTTCTCCTTTATAATGTCTGCATACACCCCTGGCATTCACTTGTTTCATGTATAAATTATATATGAAGCTAAATAAGAAAATTATATACAGTAAAATAAAGGTTGCTTTAATTATTTTTTAATCATATTCAGGAAAAATTAAATTCAGTTCATTCGAATCGCACCGATTCACAACCCATCTCATCTCAAAAAGCTTTGCTCAGACTGATTGGTTAAAGGTTTTCTCTGTAAGGAAACCCGCTGATCCATCGAGTCACTGACTTGCTAAGCATAGAAAAAGGACTCTTCAGACTCTTTCCTCCTGGATGAGCATGCAGTGACAGTTGAGAGGAAAAACTCAATTTTAACAGTAAACTAAAAACTTCCAGTGGAGCCTCAGGTACCACATCGGCTATTGCAGCTTAAAGCTGCATTCAGACATGTTTTCGGAATAAAAAAAAAAAAAAAACCTTAAACGCAGAAATTTAGAATTAGGTCTGGCACTGGATCAAACTGTGGTCAAGTTATCACGATGCTTCGATGCTCTGGATGTGCAGTGCTTTAGTTGTCTATCTGCTCTGTTCTGTAGCGCCAAGCTAGAGAGCAGCTTGGCAATATTTATGTTGATGAGTTGGAAAAATTGTTTGAACATATTTTTGAATGAGAAAGTCCCCCTAAAATCATCATCTGTGCAGTCAGTTCATCAGGAAATTGATCCCATTAAAATATGCAGTTCTTGTTCGGAGCGCCAGACCTCCAGCATACCGCCGGTGTAGGTACCATATCTGCTCGGGCGGATCTGACGTTATGCTGCATGATTGGCTGAATGTTGCCACATGATGTAAAACACATGATGGTTTCCCAGACGATGATAACAACATCATGCAGCATCAGTGTGCAGAGTCGGGAGCATCTGTAGCATTAGCTTGTCTCAAAGATGGTGGATCTGGAGTCAACAAGTCCTCCTTGATGACCCCAGATCCCCCATCTCTGGCGTGTCTAATGATCGAGGAAGTTTTACCTGATAACAAAACTGAAAAAAATGTTTATGGTGAACAAAGTAACTACAAGACGATAAGAAGATATAAAGGGAGAGAGCTGGGTAGTGCTGTGGCCAGCTGTGCTCAGTAGCTAACAGGTTAGCCTGTTTTAGCTCGGTCAATTAGCCATATTAAGCTACACTACATAACTGTTTATTTATCTAAAATCTACACGAGTCATTTTTTAAGCTGCCTAAATTGTCCTTCCTGCCCTCAGATCTTAATAAAAAGAAAGAAAATAAGCTGAGACTTTTTTGTCACCGTGTTAAATGGCAGAGCTCAGTCTTAGAAAGCAGCACTTTCCTTCAAGACTGACAATAATTGTTTTCTACTTTAGATCACCAATGAAATATATATAAATAGGCTAATTGCAAATATAGGTAATAATATGTTGAGAATGCAAAAGAGATTTGATCCTTAAGAAACGGGTTGGGATACATCTTGTCCGAGTGGAGTTGCGATATGGTGACGTCATAAAAGGGGCGTGGCCCCGAGCAGATCTGGTACCTACACCAGGACGGCGCTAGCCTCGTGAGACCATCCTGATCTCGCGAGCTTTCAAGGTTTCACTCGCAGATCAGTCTGGAGACTCTCCGTTAAAGAAAATTTGGAGCCGTAGACCAAACGAACGTCCAATCAGAGTTGGCTTTGAGGCGGGTTGAGGTGTGACGCAACGAGAAGCGCGACAGTTCAGTCTAAAGAACATGGCGGCTTCAGCCGATGAAACTAGCATTAGCGTGGCTATCGAGCAAGTTTTATCGGAATTACACTGTATTTCTTCACTGAAAGAAGAGCAAAACACTGCTCTGGAGGCTTTTCTCAGAGGAAAAGATGTTTTTGCTCTTCTCCCGACTGGTTTCGGCTAGAGCACCCTGGCTTGTGGTTGTGTTTTTGTTGTTGCTCTGTTAGTACGTCATATGCTTCGTTGATCTGATTGGTTTATTTGGCCCGTCTATCACCAACATAGGCCAATCAGCTAACCAGTATTTTCGCCCCTTCCCAAAATTACTTCAACGGAAGGTTTCCAGATGGATATGCGGAGCAAATCCATCTGGCGGAGTCAAGTTAGGACAGCGCTGGAAATCCCCACTGAAAGCTCTCTGCTGCAGGCAGCTTATGGGGGATATCCCGCTGCCCAGGGCAGCTGTGGCTACAATGTAACTCACCACCATCAGTGTTTAAGTGAATTGGTGAATGTAAAGGACTTTGATCAAACCGTTATGTAAGTACAGACCATTTACCAATATTTTTTAGTGGACAGGTTTTAACATTTTTAGGTATTTATAAACTATTTCGCCACAGTTTATAAAACCCATTGTTTAGTGCAGCAGTAATGATCAGAGCTCATTCTCTCTTCCTTCTACACAACAATCCACTCTTCCAGCTTTTTTTTTTTTAAAGCCTTTGGAGTTTAACTCCCTTGATATTTATTTTTCCTATGCAGAATGTCTGCAGAAGCGATGCCAGCTTGCATGTAGTGTCTGTCTCCCCCAAAAAACTCCTGGTTCAAATTTTCTGATTGGTTGATGCTCCGGTGTCCAGCCACAAAAGTTCAATTTCCAGCGTTTAAACGGTTGGACACCAGAAAGCTTGGATGCGCCTTTCACTACCCGATCTGACCCAGAAGCACAATCTGTCCTGCACATTCCCGGACAGAATAACTTCCGGGAAGGCAATACTTCTTCTTTCTTACTTTTTTTATCCTTTTGGCTTTTACATGCAGGGGGTTCCTTTGAATATTTTTGTATTTGCGTAAATATTGCATATTCTAAAAATGGAAAAAAGCAGTACATAAAAAAAAAAACTTAATAGCCTTTCAAACTTTATAGTGACTGCTCCGGGCATGTCTGATGATGACGTCACATAATACAATGGAGAGAATGTAAAACGTATCAATTTTTTCCAGAAAAGTCTTTTAACAATATTTAATGTTTTAAATATATAAATTAGTATTTTGAGTATCGTTATTACATAGTTTTGGATCGTATTATTCTATTCACGCATTCAAAGGATGGATCATGCTTCCAGGATAGATTGGGTAGCGACAGCGCCGCTGGACCTCTGTGCGCTGTCCCCCATAGACTTGGCATGTAAATTAGACACTTTGATGCTGAAAATGCTTCCCCTGTAAATGCAGCATAAAAATCACACACTAGCACTGACATCCTTGTAGCTTTTCTCTATTTCCAAGTCAGCCCACGAGGAGTTGAAACAAAATGTATATGTAGATATTACATTTTTAGGGCTGAGACCTCAGAATTTTGATGAAGTAATGAACAACATCTTGAACTCTCAGTGTGGTTTCCTTAATTTGTGGTGCCATTTTTAGCATTTTAAAGCTTTTACTACAACCTGATTATTGTTCATTAGCATGGTGTGTGAATTCTTCTAACTCCACTGAACTTAAGATTTTGTTGAGGAGTTTTTAAAGAAAATAAATCAGGGTTTTACTTCTTAGGCGAAGAAAAAGAGTAGCCTTGCTCAGCCACTTCCACAATAAGCTCTTTGTAACTGTGGGTTTGAAAGCTGCCGCTATGATGTTTCATTTTCTTTTTCCATTTACTTTTAAAAAAATGACACAACGATACCCGAGTCTCAGTTTAAACAAAAAGAAACATTTATTAATGACTAAACACAGAGCTAATAGTGGAAATAAAGTGTGAACTTGATGTGATATCAAGGCTTGGCTGCTGGATGCATCAATGAATCTGTTAATGCATGCATACATCACTTGATACCAATACAGGATAAGAAAGATGCTGAAGTAGCCAAACTTATCAACTGCTGGTTGTATCGGTAAACCACTACATGTTAATGTGTAAGAGATAAGTATGTTTTGTCTTCTCTGTGACATTTTCCTTTCTGCTGTGTTGTTGGATTATCTGTGGCATTTCAGACTTTTGCCTAATCCAGACTGTTTGAATAGAGACTTTAAAAACATCCATCTTAGCTCAGAACCTTCATTTAAACACCTCCCTGCCATCTTGGAGGATCCACAATTATATAAATTGCGAAATAATCTCTTATCCATCAAGATGTAGTCGATGGGTTCATTCTCAATTCACAAGAACGTGAGTATGGACTCTTGTCCTCATCAAGTACGTTCTTGACAAGAACACAGGACAGTGTGGACTCGGGTAGAACAGGAACACAGAATAAACCTGGGTCCATGGGGACAGAATCATAGTCGTGACGTCACCACATTCAAAGCTAGTCTGGAGCTACATTTCACCTCCTGTTATTAATCGTCTCTAGATAATGAACAAAACAAAAAAGGGCATCAGAGCCAGAAGTATTTCACACACGGCTATGCCGAGAGAGGGCTGCTGCAGATGGGCTACACTAAGTTCAGACTGTGGTTTGGCTCGGAGCACCGCTGGTTGCCGCAATCCTCTAAACATCAGAATGTTTTTAAGTAAATAGGCCATATGATGATACTTAGAAGCATAATAACATAAAAAATATATTAAACTAAGTGTATTTCCCCTTAATTTAAGTAGGCAAATAAGATGATTTGTCAATGGAATGAGTAGTTTTACTCTTAAAATAATATATTTAGATAAAATGCACTTGAAATAAGACACTGCAACTGTGTTGTCTGATTTTAAATGTCAATTGTCTT